TCTGAAGTCAGAGCACAAAAACCTTTTTGTAACAAAGTATCGATTTCTGCTGTCCCTGTATCCATACATTATTAGCAAACAAAATATCACCATACTACACAGTATCCATTTTTCCCCCACCCCTAATTAACACCAGCAGTGAATTCATTCAAGCTGATAGTCGTCTTATTTAAAGTGAAACCACAAGTCTAATCTAAATGAAAACAACTTGGACACAGATGCAGAAGCATTGTCTAAAAATTCATTATAAATGTGGCAAAAAAAGAAAGGCAGCGATGTCTGCTTTAAAAGGCAAACCAACATTTTAATGAAGATGATATAATTCTGATGCTGCAGTTTGACTTTTTTTTGTTAAACTATAAAGCAAATTAAAGGTTTGCACGCTGAACAAGACAAATATGGTTTGGCAAGTAAACGATTGTGATCTTTAAACTATACGTGGACGTTATTTTGAGATTAGAACAGGATTTTCTTTCAGTTAGAACAAAAGGTTTGATGATTAAAGTGATTTTCTTTGCAGGCTTAAGTTGTTGTCTGTTCGGGAGGTGTGAGCCTCTCACTGGTAATATCTGTTTGATAGTGTGAGCAAATCCCAGCCATTATAATGTAAATCCACATGAATGAAACTGTCCATTACCTGATTAGCGCATGCATTAGTGCATTACTGCTGATTTGGTGTGTTGTGCATTTCAAAATAAGAGTGCCCAGTTATTCCAAACACCTTCAATGTCACAGGAGTGGAAGAGTAGTTTGGCTGAAAAGAATAAGCAGGATTATTTTAGCCTGATAAGAACAGGGTGAGGTCGTTCAGGAGTGTCCGTTGTCTTACTGACCCTGCTGTGTGTTTGTCGTCCCTCAGGGGGCGAGCTGGTTCACCTTCCTCCCTATCTGCGCATGGACTTCCTGTTAAACCGAGGCATGTCCTGCTCGGGGTCATCTAGGGGGACAGCTAGTGGGGAGAGAGCGGCCATGGGTCAAGCCTGCCTTGAGCCCCAGAAGAGCCGCTCGCTGAAGCGGCCCTCTCGGATGGCGCCCCCGACACCTACAGAGGCCCCTCAGGCCAGCAGGGACCCAGTGGCCCAGTGGCAACCCGGATCAGCGGCCACACTCCCCCACAGAGAGGGCTCAGAGCTGGCCCAGGCAGCCAAGCTCAGCACCTCCCAGGAGTCCCTGCTGGACTCCAGAGGACATCTGAAACAGAGCAGCAACCCCTACGCAAAGTCTTATACGCTAGTATAACAGCAGGGGCACCTGGGGCGGGACTAGAACTCACTCTAACACTGGACTTAACACTCAAGTGCAGTAAACTGACTTTCACCACACAGTTCTGTATATATGTCCCCTCCCTCCGAGGACGGGGTCACTTTTACTAATGTCCTTTTATTTATTTTAGGCTTTTCTTTTACCTCTTGTTTGTATTTTTTGTTTTGTTTTGTTTATTTGTTTGTATCACTTGAGAAAAAAAATGTCACTCATTTGGAGATGAGTCCAGTCGGAGCTTTGCCAAACTAATTGAGTAACGAGGGAGCGTTTATTTATTCTTGTTCATTCTTTATAAGGAATCGGTGATTATTAATTGTTAGTTGTCAGCTATTATTGATCATTAATTACTGATTACCAAGTGATCTATTATCACCATCACTTCTCCAGTGTTTTCATAAGAACCTGGACATCTTTTTTTTTCTTCCTCTTTGGTTTCTTTTCCTGGTTTCTGGAAGATGACGATTTGGAGTCACGTTTTTTCCTATGGAATTTTCTTCTGAAGCATTCAGTGAAACTCGGAGAAATCTCGGAACAAAAGCAATTGAAACTAGAGTCCAAACTTTTCAGCTGCTCTCAAATTGTTACTTTTTTTGAAGAAAAAAAAAAATCTATTTCCTATGGATGCATGGGGACTGACCAATTAAAAGACAATGAGGATTACGATCACGGCTGGGTGGGCAGCCCAGTCGAGCATTTTGTCACACTATGAAATGATCCAATGTGAAGATTTATTATTCTTATTACTATAAATATATATATAAAAAGAGAAATCACTTTTATTTGTGGATATTACAGGGAAGAATTGATTTGGTTAATAAAGTCCTTAGTCATGTTTGCACATATCTCATTTTAATTAGGAAATGGAGTCTCTGTTGATCTTTCTCTGTGTCCCATTCTCTGATGGTGCAATATGAAAAAAGATATGAAAAGTCTATGGAAACTATTGCTCTATACTGTACTGTAATGATGATAAATAACTATGTTGTGAGTATACTTACAGGGCCGGACACACTCCAGCTTTTGTATTCAGGTGTAGTTTACCACTGCTTGTCTGCCAGGTTGGTAAATGATGTTAGCTAGAACAGGGAGGTTTTTGAGTACTGATGGTTTGCACTTCACAACAGCCCGACTCAAGTGTGTCCAGATCCCTTCTCTCAGTGCACTAGGTAGAGTCTTCAGGGCTCTCACTGTCCTCAGTAGATTTACTGTTGCTGCATTGCAGCAATGCTCCTCTACAGGGAAAACAAAACGTGAGACAATCCAGCAGAATTCCCCCCTTCGAACCAAACCTATAATGTCTATGGGAAGTATCTGAAAAAAAAAGTTCATGTGGATATATACGTAAGAAACTGTTTTTCTGTTCCTGTCTGCCCTGGCCCGTTTCTGTTCTCTTTCTTTCAGCCTGAGGGATCCAAAATGCTGTGAGGTCATAATGTCAGTTTCTATGATTAGTTTCTATGATTAACTGTCTTCATTATGATTATACATTTTAACAAAAAAAATGTCACTTTTTATTTTTAACATTGAGTGTTCACCATGGTGGCACTGGAATAAAGAGAAACTAACACAAAGGTTCAAATTTGATTAATAAAATGGCTGTTCCCCAAAGTGTCCCTCGCAGCTTTGATGGTGGGGCGGAGGTGACGGAGCAGACGGGCCCGGAGCGGGTGGAGGCCGCCTGCCTGCCTGCTTGGGCCGGGAATTTCGGCGAGAGAGATGCCCGGTCTTCACCTCGTTTTTGTCACTGTGACAGCGATGAAACACGAGTTTCCTAATGTTGAGCTTGGTACTCCCTACCTGCAGGTGGCAGCGAAGTGCTGCTCAGTACAGTCTGGTCAACACAATGAGCCTGCAGTGTCCTCTACCAAACCTGCTCGTGACTAAGATGAGCAGTTGAGTCTGCCCTGAATCGTGGACGGGATGTTTTCAACAGCAAATGTGCAGCATGGAGTGATTTTGTCAGAAGACAATTAAACACCAACAAAGCCTCAAAATCCCAGAATGCACAGCAACAGTGTAAATGTTTCTTTTCCTTAAAGCAGGGGTGTCCAAGCCATTTTATTCCCTTTGATCATATGTAGTGAAAGTCCCCTTTCTGTCAGTGTAAACAGTGAGATATAAGAAAAACAAAATGGTAAATGGCTGCATTTGTATAGCGCCTTTACTCAGTCCCTAAGGACCCCAAAG